ATTACAGGAGTAGGGAGTGGATTTCTGACTTAATGGGGCTTGATTTTCATAGGCATGAGCGTGTTATTCTTGCTTTTGCCGATTACAGAAGAAGACAAAATTAGTTGCAGGAGGTAATCTGAGCACTGCTGGGCACAGGCTGCCCCATACAGCTCCTGCACAGTGATCATGGCCTCAAATTTTGGTATTTGTCTTGCAGATTTTGGCTTCCAGGGCGAGCAGCTCTATCTTGCCCTCTGTTTTTTGAAACATTAAACAGAATCATTGCAGGTGCCTTGAAACAGCCGGTCATGGAAATAGCCAGCTTGGGAAAAAAAAGGTGGCTGAGAGCAAATTTTCACTTGAGCTGCAAAACTTGAGCTGCAAAAAATTTGTACGTAGGAATAATAGCATGTTCTTTGGGGTTAATTACACTTAATTGATGCAATGAAGAGATTGTTTTCTGAGAAGATGCAAGGGACAGAATTTGCGCTGTTGAGGTGTGGGAGATTTTTTAGGATTTTTTTTTAAAGAAGGCTTTTATGGAGATCCTAGATGAACTTTCCTTTAGCAGTCCTGTGTCATCACTGTGTTTGCTTCTACAACTGAAGCTCTGGCTGTCGGTGTCTGCTGGGCTGAAGGAATTTACTGATTCAAGAGATTATCCATTTCCCTCTTAAAACTGGGCTCCTGTCCATTCTCATGATGCAGCTGTGGGGACCATTTAGGTGCTCAGAGGAAGCAGCATCTCTCCATAAGCTTGAAAAGTGCTAGTTCCAGCCAAGGGAGACCACCACCCTGGCTGTTATTCTATAAATGAAACCCCAGCCCCGTGTTACTCTTCTGATGTAAGAGCTCAAAATGTTTTATTTAATGCAGCACCTCATTAAACGTTGCTCCTCGCTCACTTTGCATAAGAAATTAGAGCAATTAAACACACACTTTACCTTTATATTTTTCTTTTTGTGTCTTCCGCATTTTGTCACAAAAAAATAGTTGTTTGGTAAAACAAAAGCGCAAGTTTTACCCGGTTTCCTGCCTCTTTTCAAGCTCTGCTCTCGCGGAGCAGATGGGCAGGAGCCGCGCGGCGCTGGGCGGCTCTCACAAAGCAGCCAGTGACTGCAGCAGCCCCTGCTCCTCTTCCTCCGAAGAACTCGAATCTCGGTTTCTTTTGCATACATGAGTAAAAGACACTTTGAGGAGGAGGGGAATATTTTGCTTTTTATAGAGACTCATGCATGCGTGGAATCTTCTTAGTTTCTTTTTCTAATTTTTTTTTTCCTTTCCTTGAAGTTTGCTTTCGGGGCGAGTGTTTATGTAAAGTCTAGTGTTTCCGAGCGTCTTGTTTGCAGACCTTACGTAGACGAAATGCTTGTGGTCACTGTTGCTGGTTCACCACATGAAGGATGTTTAATAGCACGGGTGCTGTTGTCAATGGGAGGAGCTTGTGCAGGAAACATTTTGGGGAAAAAAAACCTTTTTTTTTTTTTTTTTAATAACACAGCAGCAACATGTCTTGTTCCTCCCTGCAGCCACGTGTGGCATGTTCACCCTTTCTCCTCCCTTCATCTGGAGCCTGCAGCTTGTGCCCAGCAGCCACCCTTTGCTTCCACTTTATTCTGCCTGCAATCCTGCAAGGCCAGAAAGGGGTTTACGCCCTTGATGGATATGGTGATGTGGGTTATTTTAACCCAGGTGTTCGCGCTGCCTTGCAAAGCATCCTAGAGAAACAGGAATTCCTTTCCCAAAGGGAGTGAGATGCATGGGATGTATATTGTAGCACGTTATAACTGCAGATGAATACGTTGCTTGGCCTATATGGCCTGCCCATGTGGGGTGTACCTGCCTGTGGCAGGTTTTGAGTACAACGCAACAGTTCTGGCATTAAAGCAGGTTGCTTCCTGCCTGCAACCAAGCCAGAGTTTTACAGACCATAAATGAATCCCTCTTTAATCAGCTGGGAATTTCGGAGGTGCTTAAGAGCTGCCTGTTGGGCATGTTCGAAAATACCAGTTTTCCACCTCACACCCCGAGTCTAATGGGTGCTTCCAGCTTGCTTTTTTTCTCATGATGGAAGTGTTGGGGAGCAGTAGTAACTGCTACGTGCCTTTGATAGGAATCATACAGCTCGGCTCCAATAGTATAACTTAGTTTAACTAATTTCAAATCCCTGCAGTAATGGTGAGGATGCCCATGCAGCTCTGCTGGGGCTCTCTGTCTTGTCCGACTTCTCTCTTGCGGAACTGCAGTTTTCATGCCCTGAAATCCTGTGCTAATGTGGATTTCCCTTTCACTCGGTGCCTCCTTCCTAAATGGCACTACCTGATGCAATTTGCATTTATCTTCGTCAGTAGGAAAGAGCTTAATTAAGGGGACAATTAGAAAAGCTCATTAAAACTACATTTGCTTTCAGTGTACCTGATAATGGAGCTTTCTGTGGCGACTTCAGGGGAAACCTCTGTTTTTCCCTGGTTTCTCTCTGACATGTTCCCCTGTGTCGGTGTCGGTGGATGCCTGGTGACTTGGAGCAGCCTCTTGGGCTGTGCTGAGGCTTGTCACCATATCTGCATTATCAGCTGCTTGTGACAGAGGCTCAGACACCAACGCAAACCCCATCCCTGCGAGAGGGAGCAGTTCTGCAGGAATTGCACCCTGGGTTTCGCATTAGGGTGACTTCTTGCATCCCCTTTTGTTTTGTTTCTCAATGGTTAAGTGTTTTGTTTCTGTGCCCAGCTGCCCTGTGTCTTACGAGCAAAGGTTTGGGAGCTGTGGCGGTTAAAAAGGTCTCAATTTAGGCCAGCTCTTGGGCAGGGGAAGCCCCAGCACAGAGCAGGCTTCCCACGCTGCCCAGCACACTCATGTGCATCCCTGCAGATTTATTTTTTGCGGGCCTGCTTCTTTCCCAAATGGCCACACATGTGCTTGCTAGCAAAATATACTAAACCTGGCCGTAGTCCCAGGTTCAGGCTGAGGAGCTTGCCTTTCTGAAAGGGACATCAGAGCCACCAACAAACTGCCCGTCTGTGCAGCCTGCCGGGCGCTCAGCTCCCATGGCCCAGGCTCTGAGTGGCTCTCAAACTTAACATTAGACAAGGCCTCTTCTGAACTTGTGTTTGAGGGGCTGGGAGATGGTATGAAGGTATGGGAGATGATCAGTGGGTTGGTAGCACACGGCAGCATGGTGTTTGATGAGCATTCATTTTTCCCTTGACAAAGATACTGGCACCTGGCATTGCAGCGGAGACTGCCACCAGGCCGTGAAAGAAAGCCTAGCTTCCCCAGGAAGGGCCTGAAAAACAACCCCGCTTCGCTCTTACTGTATTGAGTCTCGGTGCAGGAAATGCTCAGGTGCAAATGGATGCACTCTGTTTTTTTTCTGTAAGCTAAAAAGACCGGAGTTGTGTTTTAATGGTCTTACTCAGGTTCATCTAAGTTTTGTGCCTGCTGCTAATAGGTGTTGCAGGATGCGGGCGCTCCACTGCTTTGAATCGTGCTCTCCTATGGATTCTGCAGGGAACCCTGCCTGGGAGGGTTAAGCAAACATGATTAGGCTGCACTGCCAGCAATGATGTTCCTATTTAATGCATTAACGAGTGCGGATGGCAGGACCTCCAAAGGGAATTAAATGCAATGCAAACTGCACAGAGCAGAAGCCCTTGCGATTCCAAGGCGCCGAACGCTGAGCAAGCTCATTTGGGAGACGAGAGGGGAATGAGCTGCCCGTGCCCGAATGATAATTTTGTGCTTCTCAAGGCAGCTTTGAGCGTTACCTTCCTGCAGAACTAGGTCGTGCTGCACCCAGGGCAAGCGCCTGTGTTCTCCCAGCATCAATGGGAGGTTTCCCTCGTCTCCATCAATAGCCTTGGGATAAGGTAGTCACGGATCTCAATTCAGGAGCCTGTCACCTTACTCTGTTACCTGGCGGGATTCAATGACACGCTGCTTAAAGGAATTGGGTCCTGGCCACGCTGGCTGCTGCAGCGCGAGGAGAAAGCTGCTCCATTCCCTGATCTCCTTCTATAGACAGGCTTGTGGAAATAGCATAATTACTGTGCTCCGACGGCCTTTCCCACGCTGAAACCTGGGTTTTATTTCCTGCTGCTTTAACCTTAGTAGCAGCAAAATGATCCCTGGGAAGCCCGTATTGATTGCACATTATTGTCTAATTAGAGTGCAATAAGGTAGAGGTGTCGAGCGCTCGCTTTTACAGCCCTGTTCCGATTGCAGATGCTATAAATTAGAGGCTCTCTGGTCAAATATAGAAAATGTCAGTGCTTATTTCCTTCTGAATTTTTCCAGCATCTCGTGAAGGCTACACTTAGATCTTCAATTAAAAGAAATGCAAATAACAGTTGGCAAGAAATAGGTCCTGAAGGATGGTTGGGCCCTGTTCTGACCCTGCTGGCTGTAATCCATGCTATCTAATAGGAGACCCTTCTCCATAAATGAATTTTAATTCAAAACCCGCTAGATGACCCTTTCGCACCTTGTGCAGAGATATGAACAGGCTCTGGGTATACATTATGTTCATGCTGGCTTGTAAATAGTGCTGCCTGCTCCACCTGGAGCCTGGTTGTTGCTCCAGTGAGTCTTTATGTTTCTTTTGATGCATAGCGCTTGTGGTTTGGTGCTTTCTAGACACTGGTACCTTCCTGAGCAAGTTATTTGCAATGGGCTAATAAAGGATAAATCCTGGTCGTTGCAATAGCAAGAAGCCGGGAGCTGGTCACTGCAGTTCTGCATTGTGCTTAGTTGTAGGTGGAATATGTGGAAATCTCTTGACCCAGCCAAACCTTGTGCCTGCAGTCACTGTGTTATGTACGTCCTGCACAGGGATGCAGGAATGTGCAGTGGTCTGGGACACTGGCCACAAAGGTGCTTTAGAGAAAGGCCTAGAGAAATTGGAGGAATTCTCTTCTTTTAGAGAATGAAGTAATGCTACACCTACTACAAAATGCATTCTACATGTTTTTGTCTATATCCTCCTTGAAACTGAACTTTCCTTTCTCTTTCCCGTCCAGGTGCACTTTTCGATTCCCTAGCACGGTTATAAAAATCCAGTTCACATCTTTATACCATAAAGAAGAAGTAAAAGAGGAAGCTTCATCGCCTCCCCTTCGGCCGCTTTACCCTCAGATATCGCCTCTGAAGATCCACATTCCGGAGCCGGATCTCCGGAGCGTCGTCAGTCCCCTCCCGTCCCCCACTGGCACTATCAGGTAAGTGGTGATCAGCCCCACGATGGTGTCTGGGGTGTCCTCGGTGTCCATCCTCCTGGATGTCCTGCCACACCCGTGTTTATCAGCCCCTGTGGTTTATCCAGGATAGCTGATGCATGAAATGCCCAATTTAAAATGCACGTTGGTAAATCCTCAATGTTCGAGGCGACGGGAGATGACTGGAAGACATCTGGTGGTGGCCAGAAGTTGGGAACAGGGGATTTTGTTTAAGAACTCCAATGACAGGGAGAAAAAAATACAAATACTGGCCTGAATCTTAAAAAATAGCTCCACAGAATGAAACAGTTTTCATCAGCTAATTAGAAATACCTATCACCACTACCTCTCTGTATGCAGAAAGAAGATATTTGCCTGCTTTCTTGTGCTAGGACCGCCTGCTTTATTTTTATCTCCATTGTATTCTGCGGGTGCTGGGCGGTGCCGTCCCTATCTGCAGCTAAGGCCAAGGTTAGCAGTCGGCACGTGCTTTTCTGGGAACAGAAGGAAGCGGGGTCGGCTGCGCCCATGCAGCGAGGGGCTGCAGCAATCAGCGTGTGCCTGGGCACACATCCTGTTTGTAAACTAGCCGATCCGTGCACGTGCTGTAGAAACAAGCTGAACATTCAAGCGATCATCTCCAATATTTTTCTTCCCCTCTCTCTCAGCAAACTTTGCTTCAGAGCTGTGGTGATTTCATGCAAGACCCTGCTTGCAGTAGAGTACCCTTTGCTTGCAAAATACAACAAAGTAGCCTTTACTTGCAAAATATAGCAAAGTTCATTTGCAGGAGTCGGACACGATTTGGGTGTCACAGCTTCAAAATCAAGCGCTCGGTAACAGCCTGCGCGTTGTTTCCTTACCCCTACATTTGACAAAGCCACAAACAGCCCGAATGCAAAAGCATCTCCCGGTAGGTAGCAGTAATTTACTGGGGCGTTTGGAAACGGGCAGGGCTGGGAAGGACTGGAGCAGTTTGGTTTTGCACAGCGCGAGAAGCGCCCGCACGGGCGGGTTTTCCCCGGGCCCTTGCAGCGCCGCACAGATGTTTGCTGCGGATATTCTAGAAAGAGGGGGCTGGCGGTGGCTGCGGTTGCAGCCCGCTGTTGAGGCACTGCTTTTAGTTTATATTTAACCTTCTCTTTTTAGATGAAGCCTGTTGCTGGGAGGGGAGGGGGAAGGTTTCTTTGCCAACATATGGTAGCTAGTTTCCATTCAGTCATCTTGCGGTGTGGTTTGTGTTCCCAGCAGCGGCTGCAGCCTCTGACTGGGGCAGATGCCTGCGAGTGTCACTCGACTCCCCGGGAGGGTCTCTTTTTTTGCGCCGGGAGAAAGTGGAAACGAGCTTTGTGCTCGGCCCCAAGTGCAGTGTTTACTGCACATGATTAATGGCTGCATCCGCTTGTCTTGAGCAGGAGCAAATCCAGCAGAGCCTTCGGGAAACCTCGGAAGATTTGGGAGCTTTGCCTGCCACGTCCCCCTTGCTCTAGGGGAGGCCCCTGTGCTTGTAAACACGCCAGCCTCCATGTGCAAGGGGGGCCAGCAGCCCCATCCTGCCCTCCTGCCGCGGGACCTTCCCTGTGAAGGGGGGAAATACTTGGGATCAGCGGCCCTGCAGGGTCCCCACTGTCCCCTCTCGCAGGGCAGGGCCCCTGCAGCCCCACGGCCTCCCCCTGTCCCGAGGTCAGGAAGCGCTTTCTGAGCGCCGCTCTCCTCCTCCTCCTGCCTCTCCCCCGGCCAGTATTTACTTGCCTAATTTGGTGCGTTTGCCTCGCTCCTCCCTGATTGGCCCGTGGAAAATTATTGCAGTTTGGAAATCCTGGGCTGGGTTAAATTTCCTTTTTGGAAAGCATTCCCTGTGCCCCCCCTTCCTTTTTTCCTGCCTCCACCCCAGTATGGGGAGGTTCTACCTGCACCCGGCTTGGGCTGCAGCTTCTTCCCTGCTGCTCCCCCCTGCCAGTTGCAGCTTTTGGGGGGAGTTTTTCCCTTTTTTTTTTCCTCTTTTTCCCTCCAGCCTGTTTATTTTCCCCTTTCAGAAGTGCCCTGCCTAGAGAGGGGAATGAGCTTTAGTTAAACAAACCCAAACCTGCCGCCCTCAGCAGCTTCGCGAGCAGCAATCCCGCTGGCTCAGGAGCAATGGAGAAATGTTCCCACTGTTTTCCTGGCCGGCTGCTTTATCTCCAGGAGTGGCCCGGGGTGGCTGTGTGTGTCCAAGGGTGTTGTGTGCAGCTTTCAGGAGAAACACTCGCCAGAGGCAACGCGCAGGCCTGGCCTGTTGCTTCCTGCCTCCAGTTCAAAATTCCCTGTAAAAAAAACGGGGGAAAAAAAAAGTTGGATTTGCTTGTTCCAAAAGGAAGAGGCCTCTGTAGTTACAAGAAAGTAGTAGGAGCGGCCTGTGCGTTTTGTGCATCAAAAGAAGGCAGAAAGCACCTGGATTCGAGCACATCTCTCTCGATAGATGCAAGGCCTTAAAAAGGGGACTCAAAACCATGAGTACGTAGCTAAATTCAGTTCTGTCCACTGCAAAGTACCCCTGCTGCCTGCAATAAATATCAGGAGCCAAGAGGACTCTCTTTTTGTGGTGGCTTTCAACTTCCCAGCTTGTTCTGGGACCATCTCGTTTTCCTACCCCCCTTCCTGGTAACTTCAGTTTTCTGTTCTGAATTTTGCCAGCGTTTGCCATCAGACTCTCCCATCTCTGTGCGACTCGGTGTATTTATTGTAATCCTGTCCCAAGGATGGGTGGTGTTTGGAGCATAAACAGACCCACCGAGGCAGCGTGAGCTGCAGGCGCTCGTCTGGGCTCCAAATTCTGCTGAGCTGCAGTTGAGATTTACAGTGTTTAGTTTTCCTCTTTTACGTTGTATTCATTGGTAAAGACCCCGTAGTGGTAACATAACTATTTTCCAAAAAATATCTTTCTGCTGTAATGCCCTTGTATGGGGTTTTGTTTTGTTTATAATGTTGCTGAAAATGAAACTATTTCTCCCCCGTCTGCTTCCTTATTCCAAATAATAGTAGTAGTGTTCTTGCTGATAAAAAATACTATAACAAAGAACAGCCAAATGCTGCACCATGGAGGTCAGTATCATCATTCACATTTTACAGCTGCTACTTTGGGCTTATCTTTGCACCAGAATGGCTGTAGGCTTGAACACTTTGTCTTGTACTTGTTTGTTTTTGCTGCTGAAAGGGCATGGATAGCTGGCTCATATTTACAGTCTTTATCAGCAAGAAAAATGTCTTTGACGTGTAGGAGGAAGAGCCCTCAGAGCCCGCTGAGGAGCCCTGTTGAGAAGAGCCTGGTGAGGTTCTATGCTTGTTTAAACTGAAATGTATTTTTGTGTGGTCCCAATTTTATTTCTAAGCATTGTTAGTGTTGAATGTGCCTGCCGCGTTGTGGAGCAATCGATTCCTCGTGTACAGTGAAATTATGGATATGAAAAAATGGAAGGTAAGCTAGTACATGGGTTTGTCTGTACAGGTTTGGTTAGTAAAATGGAACGTGTGAGCTGAATTGCTGTAGATCTTCAGAAGTTATGGAAATTTTTATGCACTTTTGCATCTCCCACTCCATGTCTTTTCACAGGACAAATCAACTTTGGTAACGGGCTTCGTGCAGCGGCAGCACAGAGGCTGGTGCTGCTGGACGATGCTGGCTCAGCCACCACCTTGTCTTGTGGCTTTTGACAAGTCCTTCCAATTCCTTGTCAGCTTCTGTGCATGTACGGTGTGTGCTGTAATAGCTACCCTCTCGGAGCGTGTACCAGATGAATTATGCATTGGGCTGTGATTCTCTGAAGCGTTTTGGGAGGGCGTGTGGATGCTCTGTGAGCCGTGCTGCGTTCCACGTGTGCCAACATGAGGCCTGCCTCGCTGCAGACCTGCCTTAGGGAAAACAGGGTGCTGCTCATAGGGCTCTAGGTCGGCTTTCCAGCTCCATTCCACATCCCTCAGGATTTTATCTGGATGATCCCTTGGGATTTTATCATTTCTTCTGAAGGTGGCAAAGTGAGAAGCCGAGGGAACCCTGTGTGCAATTGCTGCAGTCATTCCCCAGAACGGGATGCATAAATACCACCTCCTCCATCTCATTCAGGCTTTCCTTCTTCCTATAGCACCTATTAGCCATTAAACTGGAAAGCCAGCAAAGAGCTTCAAGGCAGGCTTTTTGCAGGCTCTTTTGCATCGTCTGGGTTATCCATTACTTCCTGGAGCCAGGCAGCACATTCTGCGTCGGTAACTCCCACAGTCAAACGGAACGGTGATTATTTTTAATCACCCTTGTCTGCAAACCACAAGCCAACGGCTGTAATGCATATACATCATGGAAGAAAAGCAGCAAATCTATATGAGGCTTGGGAATTCCAGCGTGCATTTGTTTCGGATGAGGGGCCGTGTGCTTGAGGGTTGTGCCAAGCCGTGTGCTGCAGGACAACTTGCAGATGTCACCAGCTGCACGAGCGCTTCCCTCCGCTTCCCCTGCTCGGGGCTGGTGCAAAGTGCTCTCCAAATCCACAGGCTGAGCTCACTTCCCTTCTCCAGCAGGAACCACCGGAGCAGACGCAGCAACAGGAATTTGAGCCTCTGTGGATACTTCACTTCCTCGCGCTGCGGCTTGTTCAATAGCTTGGTTTTTCCTCGACATTAAGCAAGCGGAGCAGCTCTCAGATTTCTCCTTTCACATCAAAATCCAGCTCGGTTTGGCAGTCTCAGCACCTGTGATTGCTCCTGAAACTTGCCCGAAACGTGCAACGTGCGAGAACTTGCCTGGCTTTGAGTTGCATTTTTTGAGGCTAGGCTGAGGAAGGCGAGTAGCAGAGGGTTCTCTCCCATCATTTCTGATTGGTGTGTCGTGGAAGTGCTGGTTTTGCAAGCCCAAGAACTTTGACCCGATTCGTGCTTATTGCACACGAGAAAAAAGTCCCTCTTTGTCTTTTGGTGCCCCTTGTGCAGGGGTAGCACAGAGAAATTTGTAGTATTTCTCTGACGTGCTCCTGCTG